ACTAAATCGAATCCTTTAGGGTTCTTCTGCAGAATACTGTTAATCTGATCAGAGTTACCCCATTCAAGCATCTCACATGTTAAACCTGAGAAGAGAACAAAAAAGGATTTATCTACACGAATGTAACTTTCCCTTCTCAGATTTGTAAACTTACCCGCAAAAGTACTAGAAGGTTGAGTCGATGCACATAAATCTATGTTCTTCTTCAAGATCTGAACATGTACATGGAAATTAGATATCAAGCTTAAACTGAAGAATGAACTCCACTGGAGAAACTTGCCTTCAGAACTTCTTCATTGTGGTCTGTCATAATGACTTCACGACAGTATCTGCTACACAGCATTCCAGTAATACCTGCAGCCATGAAGTATTGATATATTTGGTCAGACGGAAAAGATACAGATAGGTAGCCAGTATTGGGAGAGATCAGCCATGTGATAGATTTGGAGGCATCGCCAATTACGATAACTGTTGTAACCCTGTTGCAAGACTGTAACTACTCAAAAAGTCCAGGTTAAATCTCCTACCTTGCTTTTGAGTCATAACTAATAGACCAGCAACGGCTTCCTTCTTTTTTAAGTTCATAAAGAATTATCATTTCAAGGGCAGATTAAATAGTAGTGGTTGCAGTTATAGAGCATTAGACCAAGGCACTAACAGTAGTAGCAGCAAATAAGATGCAAAAACTGTTTTACTAGTAGTATAACACCCAGTAGCTGTGATCAAGTAGGGGTGAAGGAGATCGGGCAGCACTTATAGTTATAGTAGAGGAGGTATCAGTTTCATATTATCATGATCAAATAATAAGGCCGTTGTAGTACCACCTTCAGTCATTTCACGAAATATAATTTCAAGTTCTAGCACCACCTTCAGACAGGTACTAGATCAACTGAAAAATAGGAAAGATCAAGCAAAATTATCAACATCTATTAATTGGATCTCACAGAGAGGTATGATTATAGGCCAAACCAGGAGGAAGAAGCCTTACATTTATCACTTAATCACCTACTGATAACTTCTTTTTCCAGTCTTGTCCCATGTTTTTCACTTTTATATGTTTCAACTTAATTTTCTCTTTCAATTTATTTATTCCTATGGTAGTTCTTTATAGATTCCTACGGTGGTTCTTTATAGGTGTTATATTCTTTTCGAAAAACAACAATAATTCAGACTTTTTCTATTTAATGGTCCCAAACATTTGCATTACCAATGATAATATTCCTTATTGACAAATATTATAAGTACACATTAAAAGAATCTCAAGAACAATCAAATTTAAGATAAAACAAAGTTTGGCAGAAATGTACACTCTTATTAATAAATAAACTTTAGTTCTGTTTTACTTTTGTCCTTTTTTTGTACTGCACCCGTTATGGTTCAAACCCAGGAGCTCATGATTCCAATCCTCCATCCTTACAATCCCACAAAAACCTCCCCATCTAAGTTAGTTTATTGTAAAGATTCAAGGAGATTCAATCTTATTAACTCATAGACTAATGTTCAAATAAAGGAGTGCTCAAGTTGGATGCAAGGGAGAAGGATTGTAACGAAAAATATTAAGTTAATATGTGGGATCACATTTGATGGCGGAAAATAGCATCTATTATCACACAACACCTCTGAAATGATAGAATCTTCTGAGATCTTCCGAACGACACTAACCTACACCAGAACCAAGTTCAATGACGGAACAGCCTCGAAGAATATCAGCATTTTCAGAGAGATAATGATTCAATAGCTCCGCTCCAGGCCAAACCAGCTGCCCTGTCAAATCAAAATCAGCTGTGCTGAATGCAGTTAGTCCAGAGTAATTTGGAATCATAGAAGAAAAAAAAAAAACGCTGAGGCATTTTTAAGAGGACATAATGAAGCCGTCCACTTCACTGTCAACATTTTGACTTGCAGATTTCATTTTTTCCTATATCGCAATCAGATGTGCCGGACATAAGAGCCGACATGGAAAACGAATGGTCAAGAAATATTTATTTGATTCTCATTGAGTAGCACACATTCAGGAGCAATCTAATTCCCAGCTACTTATTTTCTTCAAAGTTCAACCTAGAGATTCCTTCTTTTCAAAGATTGTAAAGAAAGAAGGAAATTTGAATCTTTTTTGTTCAAGTACAATAAAGACTTAAATCAGTGAGTTGCTCTAAAATCTGGAGGCTTTTTTTCCCATCAAGTTTATGTCTACTTTTCTGATTGGGAGGCTATAAAATTGAGATAGTGTAAAAGTAAGAATCTAGGTGTCAGCATCTTTACTTAAACCGAGCAGCAACAAAATGCCAAAAAGTACCCAACATTTTCAACTGTATGGATTCTCATTTTCATGCCAACCATAACCATTAACGTGAATGGCCACCATGATCAATCCCGTTTATTTATATTTTTTTTACTCCCCTTTTCAATTAAGTTCAGAGATGTCACGGATAAAGAACTCTAACCCATGAAATCTATCCTCTGATATTCCTAAAGTGCATATAACTGATTGAATAGAAACTGCATATTTATGTTCATTCGCAGCAATATTTCTGAGCCAAGAAATCAAATGCAGAGAAAACAGCAACAAAACTGGAACAGCAAATCTATGATTGCTTCAAATTAAACACATATAGGAAATTTTTTATTTTTTATTTTTTGGTACCTATGAAGGGAAACAGTACAGAAGGAGAACTCACTTGAAGCAGCTTGGAGGCAGTAAAGCTGAAGAACATGCGACCCAAATGTAAATGTCGTAAGCTGATAACTGCAGAAACCGGCAAAAAATTAATTATGCGTACAATAAAAAAAAAAAAGAAAAAAGAAAAGAGACAAGATTTATCGTGTCTGTATTTGATTTGGAAGAAACAGATTTTTCATACTTGTCATTGATGAAGAAAGATTCCAAGCAAACAATTTCATCATCTTCTTCTTTGTTGTCCATATTCATTTGGATTTTGGGATTTATCTTAGATACTAAGTGGGTAGACGAAGAACAAAGTGCGGGATTTATAGTCCTCACCGTTTCCGTCGGGTTTTGGCGTTTTGGGGGGTTTTAGAGCCTTTTCGTGCAGTGTTGTTATACTTGCCTCGCCGCCAGGCAAACCTATATAGTTTTTCGTTATGAGAACTAATACACTCAACGACAAATTCTCAACGAACACCAACGAATGACCTGGGTCCACCGTGTTTTCTCCAATTTACCCTCCCTAAAAGTACCTTACATCCTTCGGTTTTTTAGGAAAAAAAAACCTTAAACTCTGTTTTTCTCTCTCCTCCATTCCACTGGTCTTGACAATAGGAATCAGATAATAGCGAATTCGAAGCAAATCTAAACTCATGTTTCAAAATGTTAAAGTGAAAACAAACATTTAAAGAGAAGTCCTTGTATGTATCTAACACGTCGATATTCATCGTTATGGCGGCTAGAGATTCACAATCAGCCGTCGTGTCGGATCGACACAACAAATCCGCCGGAAAGATTCTAGAAGTTGCAGCCCCTCTTCCACTTTGAGCATATCCACAACCCCGCCACCGTCGCTCCGTTATTTTCGACTCCGACGGCAATTCCATCCTCCCCTTCTTTACTGTTTTCCGTTTCACTCTCAGATTTCTTCCTTCCATTCGGTTACTTTCCCAACCACTGGCTTCTGTAGTTCGATTCTACTTACTTTATTTTATGCAGGGAGTTCGATTCAACCGCTTATCTTCTTTTCTGGGCTTTAATTTCTCAGCCAAAGGAACACCTTCACACATACATGATTTTTGGAGACACCATTCATCCATATTCAAATTCAACCACACACACACAGAGAATCCCAATGACAAAATACCTAATCGATGTAATTATTTTGGTTATTGGGAAGATAGTGAATCTAAAATATGGTGGATAAACTCAGCTTTCAAAATATTGGGAAGATTGTTCAGCCATCGGACAGCTTTTGCAGGAGAGCCGATAAAGTAAAAAAGAAAAAACGTAAAAGAAAGGGTAAAATGGAGAAAACATAATGCAACACATAGGTCGTTAGACTTCGTTGAAAGAAATTCGTTTAGAGTATCATTTTTCTTGGGCATTTTCCCAAAAAAAATTAATTAAAATAAACGTGGACAAATTTAAATTTTTCAGAATATTTGTGGACAGAACTACATTCTTCGGATTTCACAAATCCGAGTTCTGATTAAAATTACATATTCGGATTTTACAAATCCGAGTTTTTATTTAATAATAAAATAATAATTACATAAATTTTTGTTGAATAATAGGTTTTTAAAAATTCTTAAATGAACAGTAAAGGTCGGATTTGCGGAATCCGACTTTAGTTAAAAATTAATAAACCGCGGCGCGAAATTTTTAAATCGAAAAATCGGAAGTCCGTAATCCGGTTTTATGAATTCGGATTTTGGAAATCCGGCTGCCTTTAATTTTGGTTGGTGGAAGTAGGCATGTGCCTTAAATTGAAGGACCAAAAAATTAATAAAATAATCCTGAATTGACTAAATCCGGATTCATGAAATCCGAATCTAACGTGATTCGGATTTCAAAAATCCGAGTTACTTACGGACTCGGATTTCGTAAATCCGAGTTTAACGTGCTATAAAAGAAAAAAAAATTTCAGGCAGTTCTCATTCGAGAACTGAGTTGGATTTTCTGTTTTTGCAACTCAAACAAGGGCGAATTGGAGTTTTTGATGCATTCTTGCCTCTAGATACGTGGAAATTGTTATTTGAAAGAGGTTAGATTGCAAAACCATGTTATTTAGTTTAGTTTTGTGTTATTTTGATTGTTAGAATGATGTATGATAGATTAGGGTTTATGTTGGTTGGTTGTTTGGATGTTTTAGGTGTTGATTTTGAGGTTAGAGATGAGAAATCATAGTTGTTCATGAGATATCGAAGTTGATTTATAAGTATTTTAGTATTTTATAGGTTTTTTGAATTATGAATGGAGTATGTATGGAGTATTTGTTGATTTTGTTATTAAGAAATGATTAGTTATTGATGTTTTTTTTTAACAGTTATCAATGGCACGTAATGTATCATACATGCTTAATTTGTATCATACAAGTAAGTATGTGATAGAGAACGGTAGCATCAACACTTTTTCGAATATGCCGGATGATGGTTTGTTTGTCGAAGAAAGGTTGTCATATGAGGGATTGATTAGTAAGATTTGTATGACACTTGGTTGGGATCCAGCACACGTGAAACTCCACCTTTCTTTGATTTTCGATAGTTCCGGTGGTAGGCGTGTAGTGAAGATCAAGAATGATTCGCATGTAGAGTTCATGAACCGTGTAGATCCGATGTCATGTTTGGATTTATACATAGATTTGGAAGATATCACTCAAGAAGAAAGAGAAGCGAGTTTGGAAAACGTGTCATTTGGTGGTTTTCCAAGGAGGGAACGTGCTAGTACTTCTCGAAACCGTGATGAAGAGGAGACACCTTTATTTGCACAAAATGACTACCGGGAAGAGTCGGATTCCGACTACAAAGCTCCAAGTGAAAGCGAAGAAGACTGTGATGTCTTCGGAGAGAGTGATTTTGAAGAAAGTGATGATGAAAGGTTGGAAAATGAGGAAATGGATTGTAATCTATTGGCCCGACGCTATGTATATAGTAAGATGGGGAACTGGGATGCCTCATGTGTAGACAAGGATGAGTTTGCTCTTAAGATGTGGGATGAGACGCCCGAAGGAATGGACATTGGTGTTTGTTTCAAATCTCAATCAGAAGCGAAGCATGCTGTGAAATTATGGAACATCCACCATAAAAGGGAATATACGGTCGCCGCGAGTAGTCCAAGGACGTGGGCTGTGCGGTGCAGAACATTTAATGTGGAAAGTGAGGATGGTGAACCACCATGTGAGTGGAAGATGCGTGTGTCATTGAAAGCTCACGGCCTTCATGAAATTGTGAGATGGCATGATGCACATAATTGCATGACTCCTGTGAATGATAATGACAATCGGTGTGTGGACGCGTCTTTGATTCCTAGACTCATCAGGAGAAAGGTTGAGGACAACGTAGATTATACGGTAGCCTCGCACAGAAAGATGTGAAGACCTTATTGAAAGTAGATGTGCCATATAAAAGGGCGTGGCACGGGAGGATGAAAGCCATAGAAGCGGTCTATGGTGATTAGACCTCGAATTTCGAAGAACTTCCACGGTAAATATCAACTTTTATCCGTGTATTGAAATATTTTTAGTATTTTTATTTTTACATGTATTGAAATATTTTAACAATGACTTGTTGTTGTTTAGGTATATCGCTGCGCTTAAGTTTACTAATCCTGAGACTGTAGTAGAGTGGGAATGGAAGGAGGGACAAGAAGGTTGGAACAGGGGAAATAGGACATTTAAATACGTCTTCTGTTCATTTGCACCGGTGGCTGAGACATTTTTTGAATGTCCACTGGTCATTTGTATCGATGGAACCTTTTTGCGTGGTGGATACAAAGGTAAATTGCTTGTTGCGGTGGTCTATACCGCAAACAAGCACATTTTACCGGTTGCATTTGCGATTGTGGATGAGGAGACAGTAGAGAGTTGGACATTTTTTATGAGGAATTTAAGGTTGTGGGTTGTGTATGATAGAATCGTAAGTGTGATATCCGACCGGAATGCAGGGTTGTTGAGCGCAATGTCACAGATGGATGAATGGCGTGATTTAGGTGATGGTGGGCACTTTCTTTGCCTCCGCCACGTTCGCAGCAATCTTGTGTCGCGATATAATAGCAAAAAGGTGAAGCGGTTATGTTGGAAGATGGGCACGACGCTTTCAAGAGTGAAATACAACCGTATGAGGGCAGCGCTTATTGAATTCAAACCTGCTGCATGGGAGTATCTTCGAGGGATTGGAGGGAGTAATTGGGCTCGATTAAAAGCCGGTCTTCTCCGTTGGGGCATAGCGACAACCAACATTTCTGAGAGTTACAACAATGCGTTGAAAGGGATCCGTTTTTTACCAATTGGAGCCTTGATCGATGCAACCTTTCGCAAAACTGTTAAATTCTATAGAGAAGAACAATTGTCTACGAGAAATTGCATGACACCGATCCCTCCTGAGTTATGGAAAAAATACGAGAAAATGAATGACAAAGCAGCCAGTTTTGAAGCCACCCCTTTCGATGGTGATGATGCTATGTGGCGTGTTGTTACTGCCACACGCCTAAGTGGCAGGGGTGGGTCTCTGCATACGGTGAACTACGATGAACATAGGTGTTTGTGCAGGAAGTAGCAAGAGTACCGGATGCCTTGTACGCACGAACTCCAAGTTTGTCGGAGAAAAGGGGATCGGCCTATTGATCTATACCATAGTGTGTGGCGCCTTCCAACGTGGCACAGACAATTTGATTGCACCGGCTTTGTTCCGGTTCCTGATGAGGAACAATGGCTGATGGTCAATTGGAACATCATTCCGAATTATGAGCGTCTTGTGTTGCATGCGGGACCGGGACGAAGACAAAAAAGGAGACATAGAATGCAAATGGATTACAGGGGACGCCGGAGCCGGGGGGAATGTTGGAGATGTGGACAACTAGGTCATGATGCCAATTCTTGTCCGTTCTCGCACCCAGGAGTAGATAGAAGACCTGTGAATGACAGCTGGAATTGAGAGTCATTTAGTGTTCTTGCAAGTTATTTAGTGTTTGATAAATTTATGTGAACATTGATAAATTTGGATTGTAATGTGAACATTGAATTGTTCGGATTGTAAAGTGTGATGAAATATGTACTATTTTTTCATAACAGGTTTTCGGATTGTGCAAAATACTCATCATTTTAAGGTTTTCTAAAGGATTCGGATTTCGTAAATCCGAGCTCAGACTTTTTTTTTGAATTTGCAAAGGACTCGGATTTCTGAAATCCGAATTGGTGAAACCCATCCGAGAGTTACAATTTGAGGAGAAACAAGAGGGACTCGGATTTCCGAAATCCGAGCTCAGAGTTTTTTTTGAATTTGCAAAGTACTCGAATTTCAAAAATCCGAATTGGTAAAAAGCATCCGAGAGTTGCAATTTGAGGAGAAACAGGGGAGACTCGGATTTCCTAAATCCGAGCTCAGACTATTTTTGAATTTGCAAAGTACTCGGATTTTAGAAATCCGAATTGGTGAAAAGCATCCGAGAGTTGCAATTTGAGGAGAAATAGGGGAGACTCGGATTTCGGTAATCCGAGCTCAGAGTTTTTTTTTTCAATTTGCAAAGTACTCGGATTTCAGAAATCCGAATTTGTGAAACCATCCGAGAGTTGAAATTTGAGGGAAACAGTGGAGACTCGGATTTAGCAAATCCGAGTTTGACGGGGCTATATATAGCCGGTCAACTCTTCCCCTCCCATTTTTCCCCCAATTCCAGATTTAAAAAACCCTAAAAACTTCCCTACAATTCCACTCAATTCCGGCGACTCCCATTTCCTAAATCCGGCGACCCTCCACTCCTCCGGCGACTCCAATTCCAGATTCCGGCGACCCTCCACTCCTCCGGCGACTCCAATTCCAGATTCCGGCGACCCTCCACTCCCTCTACTCAATCCGGCGACCCTCCACCCTCCACTCAATCCGACGACTCCCTCCGACTCTCTCCACCTCCAGCGACTTCCTCCACTCCTCACGGTAAGTTGCAATTTTTTGTTTCTCTCTTTATTTTTTTTTTGTCAAATATTTTTTTTTCTTTGTGAATCCGAGTCCTTTTTTTTTTTTTTCTAATGTGTATTGTTGTGGTTTAGTTTATTTTGAATTGTGTTGTCTTCATTAGTGAATTGTGTTGGTTTATATTGTATTGATTAGTGAATTGTGATGGTTTGTGTTGTATTGATTAGTGAATTGTGTTGGTTTGTGTTGATATAGTGTATATGGTTTGGCCGAGTGTATATGTTTTTTTGGCCGGGTGTATATGGTTTGGTTGAATTGTTTTTTTGGCCGAGTGTATATGGTTTGGTTGAATTTGGATTTTGGCCGAGTGTATATGGTTTGGTTGAATTGTTTTTTTGGCCGAGTGTATATGGTTTGGTTGAATTGTTTTTTTGGCCGAGTGTATATGGTTTGGTTGAATTTGAATGGTTATTGCATTATATATTTTGCATATTGGGATTGAAATGGTATTGGTTACCTTGTGTAGGATTGAAATGGCGATGCCGGTGTCGGGCTCGCAATATGACTATCAACCTAAACATCTTCACCCTGGACCTATACAAGATAAAATGCTATATCGTCAAACAAAGCATAGGTCCCAAGCTGTCTATGAGAACAAGATACCGGACATTAAAATATTCCGCCTCAAGGGCCGTAGGTACGACAGTGATTTTTGGGCGTTATACAAAAATACGGCACCGGAGGTTAAGGAAGTCATTAGGAGAGCCGGTTTTGACGGGATCATGAAAGTAGGGTACAAAAGAGTTGATCTCGGCCTCATTACCGCGTTGGTGGAACGGTGGAGGCCAGAAACCCACACTTTCCATTTCAATTTCGGAGAGGCGACGGTGACGCTACAGGACGTCGAGGTCCTGTTTGGTATTCGGTGGATGGTGACCGGTGTACGGGACGGCAGCTAGCCGGACCGTAGATGAATGGCGGGATCGATGTGAGGCTTATTTGGGATTCCGGTGGCGATCGTAAATGGCCAATGTGTCAATGTTGGTATTTTCGAAGATGAGATGGGCCGTGCACTACCCGAAAATCCCACTTGTCCATCGATTCGAGCAAAGGGCCAGACACTTATACCGCATTTTATTAGCGCTTTCATGTTTCCGAACAAGACGCAGAACACTATCAATCTACAGTTCTTGGCCCAGGTTGAGGATTTGGATCAGTGTAGTCGATACAGTTGGGGATCGGCACTGCTGGCTGGTTTGTACTCTGGACTGTGCGAGGCATCACAGTATACCATGCACGACGCCACTGGGTGTCTATATTTGCTACAGGTACGTATTAGTTTTCATTTTGTGTTTTAATTATTTTTCGCTTTCGACGTTATAATTTGAAGTTTTAACATTATTATTATAATTTACTAGGTATGGGCGTATGAGCGGATCGAGAGGATCGCGCCACAAAGAAAAGGAGTAGATTATTTGATTGATGAGACCGCTCCATTAGCTCAGCGGTACGTATTTTCAGTTCAAAATAACTCAACGTTTATTTCTATTTGTTTCTTATTCATTTATTTCACTAATTCAAATGTACCCCTTTGTTTATTAAGGTGGGAATGTAGGTACACCTACGGCGATGCCCCAAGGAGCAGCACTCCACCTTTTAGAGATCAATTAACAAGTCTGCGTGTTGAAGATGTAAGTACTTGTAATTTGGTATTTATATTTACTTTGAGATCAATTACCCCTTTCTTTTTGTTTCGGTTGTACCATCTAATGAAATTCTTTTTGTGCAGTTTCGGTGGCAACCATATGCACATGTCCTTCATAGACTCCCTGATTTCTGTACACAAGGCCAAGCCATTTGGATGACTAGGTGTTGGATGTTCTGTTGGGCTATTAGGGAACCCCACGAGTTGGGCAGAGTCGTAAGACAATTTGGATACATACAGGATGTTCCCAAGCACCCCATGATTAAAGATAATGCAGCATTCCTTCTCGATCACGCCCACAGTATGTCTGGGTATCCTAGCAATAAGTGGGTGGACCACCATTCCGCAGTACGTCGTTATTGGAATAGGAGAGAAGAGTTCGTGCTACGAGATTTGGAGGAAGGAGATCTTGGTTCCGTATATGAGGGGTACTATGAATGGTTCATGGTGAACACTGTCAGACTGATATCCAATCCCGGTAATTATGAACCTCAAGGATACGAGACTTCTTCGAGCCGCGTGAAATTATATGTGAGTTAATTCTAGATTTCTTTTATTATTTCTTATGTTTTCATTTTATTTCTTTTTCAGTTTTTATTTTTTTAGAACTTTACTCTCTTAATTAACGTCCCAATTTCTTTTCAGGGTGAAGTATTGAACAACATTCGCGTGAGTACCGAGAGGTTTAGAGAAAAACGAGAAGATGATAATCTCCTAGACGAAGAACTTGACAAGCATTTGGACGATATCATCAATCAAACACATACTGCTTTAACCTTGGGCGCAGATGATGAGATGGAGGTGGAGGATACCCAAATCCTGGTTGATGAAGATCCATCTTTGCCCTCACAACCTCCGCCGGATAAAAAAGCGAAACCGTGGTCGAGAGATAAGATTGGAGGAGGAAGAAAGAGGAAGGTCACAATCCCCCCTCGGACATCGCAACAACAAACTGAGGGTCAACAAAATGAGGATCAAGCACATTCTTCTCGAGGCTCGCGCATCCAGGTCGAGACTCATTTTGAAGAAGCTGGTGGACCCGAGACTCAGTTTGACCTTGGTGGACCCGAGACTCAGTTTGGTGGACAGTCACAACCACAACCTGGAGTCAAATTTCTCACCATAGGGGAGTCCCAATCCCAACCCCAAATCGAGGCTCAGTTTGGTGGACAGTCGCAACCACAACAGAGTTCAATACTCACGTATCTTAAGAGGGGAGACAGGATCCGGCAGGGCCCAAACAAATACACTCTGGATGTGCACAATAAAGGAAAAGGGAAAAAATGAGACATTTGATGTATTTTGCACATTTAAAGTACTTTTTGTATTGATTTTTGTATGAAACTTGATTTGTTTTATTGTTAATCGAATGCCGTTTATTGTTTTGTTGCCATTAAATTCCTGTTTTCCAATGTTTCATTGTTGTTGGTGCTGTAAAAAGGTTTAGGACTGGTGAAAACCAGTCCAATTTTTTTTTCAGTTCTGACAAAAACTCGGATTTGTGAAATCCGAACCCAGACTTTTTGTAAAGGATTCGGATTTCGGAAATCCGAGTCTGTAGCCAACTGAGAGTCACCATTTTTCAAAAAACAGAGGAGATTCGGATTTCGGTAATGTGGCTCTACATATATTCGGATTTCCGCTATCCGTTTTTTCCCAAATTTAATTTTTCAACACATTTTTTTCTCTATCTGGAAATTAATATTTTATTCATAAAAACGGATTTATAAAATCCGGATTTAGATTAATTACACTAATTTTTGTCATTAACTTAATATCGGATTTACGTAACACAAAGTCGGATTTTAATAATCCGAGTTTATTAGGGGTCGGATTTCCGAAATCTGAGTTTTGCCCCCATTCGGATTTCCTAAATTCGGGACATATAAATTTGTCCACAAAATTTTTAAAAGCTTTATTTTTGTCCAGGTTTTTTTCTTCGAATATATTAAAGGAAAAAATTCCATTTTTCTTTCGTTATATACATGTTTGGGCAAACTTTTCATTTTTTCCCCTCGAGTTTTGGTCCTTTAACGGAGTATACCCAAATTTTGTAATAATATTATTTTCCCCTTTGAAAGGGTTAAAAGTTGGGTCAACGGCGGAAAGCTCTAAAATTACAAAGAAAACCCTCAATCATAGTAGTTAGTATCGTACGCGATATATTTGGATCAAAGATTTCGGTATGTATCATGGTATGTATCGTAATTGTTTGTGTATTGGTCAATTACCGACACATATCATACGATACATACGATACACAATACGATTGTGTATCATACGATAAAAATTATAGACAAAAAATGTAATTTTTTTTCTTCAAAGATTTCAAATTGTTGTTTCATAATGACCATTTAAATTTTAAATTAATGACGAATTTCATTTAAAAATTCTTTTTCTTGAGAAATAATACTTCATTATATTTACTAAAATTTAGCCAGCTCTGATTGATACAAAAAATTTGGTGAACATAACCAAGTTTTAGCTGATATTACATTTGACTTGTGCTATACTGTTTTTCAATCTAGGAATCCAATACAAAGCAGAAAAAAAAAAACTCCAAAAGTAGAAACCTAATCTCACATAGAATCGGCAAACTACAGCTAGTATTGCGACTGAGGAATCGCCCATTATTGTGACATTTTGGAGATTGACTTCTTTTAGAGTTACAAGAGCTTCTTTTAATGCCATGAATTTGTTGCCGCTGATTTTTATTAAAATTGAGTTGGCCCAACAAAAAGTGGTGAATCGGCCCAATTACACAAGAAGCACACATCTGACGCGAGAAGAGGAGAATCCATGTCCCGAATAGGAGAAGGAGACGCGTCGAAAGCCCACCCCGGCTCAAGAGAAAAGCCAAATCCAAGTCTAAGAAGAATTACAATTGCGACAAGAAACAAGAAATCAGAAATAAAAGCCAATTGTGATTCTAAATCGACAATATCGAATTCAAGTAGGAATCGGAGATCGCACCACCTCAACGATTACCGAGCCCTATATAAAGAGAGAGAATAGAGCGACACAAAACACATCTAATCTTCAACACAGACAAAACACAAGCTGCAAAGCTCTTATCTTTCTTTTCATACCCTATTATCCTTTTCTGAATTGCTTTTCACAATTCAGAAATTACTCACCTGCAGTTCGTTTGTTACAATTTTGCCCATGAACTATTTTCTTCCTCCTTCCTTCTTCTCCTCCCCCCTCTCTTCTTCTTCTTTCTCTTTTATTCTTTCTTCTTCTCCTTCTTCCTCTCTTCTTCTTCTTCAAATCTAGATCTACTAATAATTGGACACCAAAAAAAAGGCGGAACGCGGCAGGGAACAATGGGAAAGCTCACCATCAATGCCGGTAAATTTTTTTTTCCCAAATTGTATTTAAAAAAAAAGGCTGCTGTCCAGATTGGCCGACCCGAATGGTGGCCAGCCCGAGAACGTTGGTCGGATTTCTCACCGGTCAAGGGATGTGGATTGGCCTGGTCAGGGACCGGCCAATCCTTGAAGGGTGACCAGCCATCGAGTCGGCCACTCTTCAAGGATTGGCCTATCCTTGACCAGGCCATTCCATATCCCTTGGCCGGTGAAAAATTCGGGCAAGGTTCCCGGGCTGGCCACCGTTTGGGTCGGCCAACCTGGACAGTTTTTTTTTAAAAAAAAAAATTTTTTGTTGTAATTTTTTAATAATTATTTTAGTTAAATTATTTATAATTAATGTAATTAGTTGTTTAATGTTGTGTTATTAGTTGTAATTAATTTAATTAGATTTGTATTAATTTATAATGAAAGGGAAAAATTTAATTAATTTTGTAATTAATTTAATTATATTCCATTAAAATGTATAAATTTAATATGTATAATTAATTTAATTGAATTTAATTTATATTTGAATCTTTAGGTCTAGATATAATTTAATATGTATAATTAATTTAATTGAATTCATTTTAATTTATATTCTATTAGGTATAAGTAATTTAATTGATTTTATTTTAATTTCTATTTGAATAATTATTCTAATGGAATATTAATTTATATATATAATTTAATGAAGGTTAAAAGGATATATTAATTAGGTATAATTTATTTAATTGAATTTTTTAATTTCTATTTTGATTATTGTAGTGTAGTTATATATATTCATTAATGTAGGTTCAAAGGAGAAAAAAGAAAAGGCCAGATGTACATGATTCTTCATTGTTGCTTGAGTCGGGTACACAGGACATGCATGGTCGAGTTATTTCTGCTTCATATCGTCGTGGGAGTCCAACTGGGCATAAGTCAAAGAGTGAGTCGCAGATGGGTCAGGCCGGTAGTAGTGTGGGACTTGACGATGTAGTTGATCATGCTAGTTTGGACTTATAGAATGTGAGTGACAATGATGATGTCCCGACTGAAGATATCAATTTGGAAGGGTTTAATGATTTCAGAGGTGACTCACCTCCACATTCACCTCCACCTAGACGAAGCAATATTATTTGTCTTAGAGTTAGAGGACTTGGAGCTGCATCTGCATCTGCAATTGCATCTGCATCTGCATCATCATCAACAGGTAAGAAATTAGTGTATGGGGTTTATATTTTACATTTTAGTAGTTAAGTTTTTTCAAATATTTTATCAGAAAAAAATTGAATGATTTGTTTATGTTAATTTCAGCGAGTAATGTCCAGCCTTGGGTTGTCACGAGAACAGTTGTTGGTGGCCCTCATGACAGTTCTATTATTCCCAATTTTCTTGGTCATGTGGCTCATCGCTTGACGGATAAGTCGTACAAACCCTCCTTGGAGATGGATACAAGAGTCACATACTTCAAGTTGTTGAAAGAATGGAAGGGTTCTATGTCGACTGAGGATCAAATCTTGTTGGCTGGTATAGGGCTATCCCACATCGTGGACATCATGCACACTAACATTGATAAGGCATTGATTACAGCATTTGTAGAGAGGCGGCAGCTGGATACCAACACGTTTCACATGCCTTTTGGGGAGATGACCTAAATGTTACACGATGTGCGACAAATATTGGGTATTCCCATTGAAGGTAGATTAATTACAGCACAACCTGGGACTGTCGATTGTAAGACTTTGGTCATGAGGGCGCTGAGAATGACTAGTCAGACGCTACAGACTAGTAAAGTAATCCATGGTGGAGGGGTTCAGTCGGGCCTTGTTGCGAAGACAGTCCGAGCAGCAGCGCTTGCTTTAGATCAGGTGACCGCCTAGTTATGGGTCATGTTAGGGAACATGTTGTTTACCGACAAGAGTGGGACTCGGATTAGAGCGGCGATTCTCTCCGAGTTTATTGATGTCCTAGTCACTTGTGGAAATATTTCTTGGGGGTCTGCTACTCTAGCCTATCTCTACCGTCAGCTAGGCGTGTACACCAGATTGAAAAATGCCTCAATGTCTGGTTGCTACACACTACTTCAGGCGTGGATATATGTGTACTTTTCATGTTTCAGACCACCTCAGGGCAGTCCCTTTGAGGCTCCTGACCACCCCGAGCTGGGTGGTGGAATGTCCCAAATCCTGATAACAGTCCAGATCGTCTGATGCACCTTCGCAGCCAGATCGACAAGCTGGCACCCGATCAAGTACGTCACTTTTCGCACTTTTAAAATAATAGTTATGCAAAATAATGTTATTAATGTATATTATATCTTTTGTGTAGGTTGAATGGTTGCCTTATGGCCCAGATCCTGTTTCGGATGATCCAAGGACCATATGCAGTGGCTGGATACAGTACCGAGATATTATTGAGTCATACTTGCCTAGTCGAGTATTGCGCCAGATTGGATACATCCAGGTCATCCCTCCACCCATTCCTCATCCCCTGAGTGCAAATAGTAGTGGTAATCACCACTCCTACAAGGTTTCATGGAGGCCCACTGAGGCGTTTGATGCTTGGATGCAATTCCCATTCAGTACCGGGCTAACTCTAGAGTATTTTGAGCGGAGTGATCATGATAAGACTGCATGCGCTCCTACTTACCTCCAGTGGTACTTGAAATATTTGCATCCTTTCTTGGTTTTAGATGCCACTACTATAGGTGGAGTTAGAACCACATCTCACAAAAGTTTTTATTGCATAACTATTTCTTGAAATGTTTATACAATATATTATTAATTGTGTAATTTGTTTATTTATTTTTTGCAGTGGGTCAACCGATTGTCCGAAATTCATAGAAACGCACTTGAGACAATCCACGAAATTGATGCAGAGAGAGTAAAGGAGCATGAGGCATTGTTTGCTCAATTTCAGGATGAATTCCGATTGAGCCATAGAGATTGATGTGTATTTTATTAGGATGTTGTATGTTACTTCTTGGATTTCTTCCCCATTTCAGAATGTTATGTTATGTATTACTTCTTAGATTTCTTCCCACTTTCAAAATGTTATGTTATGTGTTTTAATTAGCAATGGAACATATGAAATTTAAATAACTAGTTTTAACCTTTAAATAAATGTTATGCAACTACTAACTAGATTTAGATAGTCTATTCCACTCTGCTATCCTAGAGTGGTACTCATCTTCCCAGCCTATAGCATTGTTCTCACGCCACCTAAACCAATAAGGATGTACAGGAGGGACAGGAAAATTACTACCGAAATCAACACAAATGTAATGATCTACACAGCCGAGGTGAAGAAGCACCAATCTCACGAGTTGATCTTCCGGCATCTCCACGATCAGTAAGGGACAAGATTGTCAAACAATAAAAATCCAGATCCCTTCTAATGTATTCCCAAGACCGTACAGAAAAACTGCAGCATTCCAGATAGTAGCAATCGCATACAAGTCTTGTGTGTTTTCCATATAACGGAGCGGAAGGCATCCACCTACCAGCCACCTTAACCGTCCATGCACGAGCCCACCCTACAATTACTTGTGTTTCCAAGATGTGTGACCCCATTTGTCCATGCACGAGCCCACTTCTCCTTGTGAACTAGCCAAGTGGTCTTCATATAATGCATCAACTCTCTATAACTTTTCGCATTTGGGTGCCTGTAGTACGACATATTAATCACAGCCATTTCATGAAAGTACTCAGTAGGAGCTTCAAGTATCGGATCGAACATCTCCTTCTTCCACCAGTTCGCGAATTTCTTTCCAAAATGCCACCGTGCATTTTCAAAAACACATTTGTTGATGTGCCACACGCACATAAGATGTGCAGAATCTGGATATATCAAACTGATTGGTTCTACCAGCCCTAACTCCCTATTTGTCACTATGGCACATGGGTGCACCTCCCATCCAATTATATCCCGAAACTGCTGACATGCCCAAGTATAACTCTTTTTCTTCTCATCCTTCATAATTACGTATCCAATCAGAAAATTCTTGTTGGTTGGAGTCATCCTAATAATTTGTAATAGCGGCATATTATACTTGTTTGTTCTATAAGTAGTATCCATGCCAATATACCACGGGTATGATCGGAATCAACTCTAAATATACTGGATGTGCACAGAAAATATGACTAAACACACCTTTTTCATTAGCCGTAGTAATCACTACTTTTGTTGCTGAGTAATGTCAAAGAAGTGATCCACCAATGTTTTATCCTTCCTCTTTTTCACCTGCATCCTACTCTTGTAGTTGTACATCTGTTTGATCACAACGTGCTCGTCCAGGCATTTCTGCTAAATTGTCCACAACATTGCAAACGGTTTTACATTAATGGCAGTCAACTCGTCAACAATCGCCTTCGATTTATCACTAAGGCCGCTCATCTGCATCTGTCCCTCCTCGAAGCTGCCAAACGGGTGGTTATGCATACCATTACGACCGGGACATGAACGAATCCCAAAAGTAGATTCGCCTGGGCGAATTTGGGCGAGAAGCCGGAACAGGCATCCACTATACTGCGCCTTTGTTTTTCGCACCCGATTCTCTATATCTCTAGGGGGAACACCCTTTGGACATCGTAATAATTTCTTAGTCTTATCTGTCTTTGACGCCTTAACCACTGTGAAATTAAGAGATATTGCAGTCTTTTTTCACCCATAGCACAACGGCTTCAATAGTTGCGAATCTTATGTTAGTATCGAAATGATGATTGTAATCAACACCGCCACCACCATAATCCTGTAAATGAAATATATAAATTTTTTTTAAAAATAAAATATACATAACAAATAACTAATTTATTTACGTAAATAATAATTAATTATTAAAGCAAAATACCACATACAATTATAAATTTAATTAAAATAAACAAATATATACCACATACCTAATATACACTAATTATTAAATTAAACGAATTATACCTAATAATTTAAATTAAACATGTTACTAAAGCACAAAAAAAAATTAAATGACATATACAAAATAATAACACAACACTCAACAACTAATTATATTAATCATATATAAATTTAACTAAATTAATCAAACAATAATACAACAACTAATTACATTAATTATAAATAAATTTAACTAAATTAATTATAACAACAAAATTACAACAAAAAATTAAAAAAAAAACACAAAAAAATTTGAAAATAAAAAACTGACTGCCCAGACCTAGGCTGCCCGACCCGACCGACGGTTAGTCCGGGAACCTTGGCCGGTCCCTGACCCGGCCAATCTTCTACCCTTGGACGGATTTCTCACCGGCCAAGGTTCCCAGGCTGACCGCCGGTCTTTTAAATAGGATTTGGAGCAAAAAAATTTACCGGTATCGATGGTGCTTCTTCCCGTTGTTGTGTGTCTTGTTCCGCCATTTTTTAAATTTTGATTTTTAGTAAATCTAGATTTAAAATTTGATAAAAAGGAAGAAGAAGATGAAGTTGGAGAAGGAGAAAAATAGAAAGAAGAAGAAGAAATGAGGAAGGAGAAGAAGAAAGGGGGAATATAAAGGGTTTAGGGGCAAAATCGTAAAAAATGAACTGCAAGTGAGTAATTTCTGAACTGCGGAAAGTAATGCCCTATTCTTTTTCAAGTACTTTTCACAAGTCTTTTTATTCGATTTACTCATTGTACTTCGTTTAAGTTTCATCGATTCATTATCAATTCAGTTTATTCAAGTTATTGCAAGTTTTATAACCTTCTTCTTCACGCCTAGCCGAATATTGCATCTCACGAATTGCACACTTTCATTTGATATTGTTTGCAAGCGTGCGTCAGTTTCTACTGAATATTTTCGCACAAACATAATTGACACGCCCGGTGGGACTGATTTGCGTGTCTCGACTAGGTTTGAAGTTATGTCAACAGCAACAACTACTACTTTTGTTCTGACAGGAGTTACTTCTTCCGGTCCATCAACAACTGAAGCAGCAAAATCAACCGGAGAAACAGGAGTAGCGTCAACTCTTTCGTTGCCGTCATCGGGAGTACAGATTCTACCGGTGAATCAGAATCTGGAGCATGAGTTGAGAAGTTCCTATCACTCTCAAATTCACCAAGGTGCTGAGCAAACTGTGGAGCATGAAACAACATGGCTCAATGCTCAATTATGGTTAGACCAATGGGGCCATACTAAAGAATCAGCATACAACACACCCCAGGGCCCTGAGCAAATCATTATCGGCCAACAGAATAACACTATCACGAGCATGCTGGCCTGTATTACTGCATTGGAGCAATCTCTCCAGAAAGTTAACCCTAGCGGAGTCGTGGTACCTGAAACTCCACGAATAACTCCAGATGCATCATTGAGAGTACCATTATTTAATCCATCTACAACTCTTACCCATAACAATCCTTTGTTATCTAATTCATCAACACCGGTGCAAGGGTTGTCAGCCTGATACGAATCTTGAGGCAAATGTGGCAGATTAACCTCGACGCGGAAGCTATAAATATCCCAGGACTTGAAAACTTGCAAATCCAAAGACTCCAAAACTCACTAAAAAAAAAAGAAAAGAAGAGATGCAAACCACAAAAATTTGCACCAAAAGGGGATGGAAAGGTTTAGAAGATGTAGAAAGTGTTTAAGGCTAGCAACCCAATCGGTCACCTCTCTAACAATCCTATCTCTTCAATTTATGGATAGAGCGGCCAGCGAAAAGGCTCCAATGAACAACTAACAAAGCTCCACAAGTAGAAAAACACCTATTCTACTCGCATGTATCAACAAAGCACAAGCTTATGTGCAATGCAACTAGTCTTCGAAAAGAATAGAAAAAGAACAAAGAGTTTCCTCTCGTCTCGTATTGAAATATCATATTCATCAAAAGGGTGTATTTAGAATGCTGGCGAAGCAACCCTATTTATAGTAGAGGGGGCGGAAAATTCTCCTAACAATTAGGAGAAGAGTTTGATCTCTAACTCTATTCCTACTTTAAAGAACTAGACATCAACTTAACATCTAATTGACAACTTGTGTCTTGTCTAAGAAGGCAATGTATCTAGACACCTTTATAGACTTAAGAAACACTAGTCTAATGAAAATAAAACTCCAAATACAAAGAGATATTCTCTCAAAAGAATCTTATCCTTATCTTGAAAAGAATCTTCCTGAGTTGTCAACTCTATCAATATTTTCTTTGTAGAATAATCATAGCCATCCAATCTTGATCTAATCTTCATGCAACGATAGAGAGTAGACACCAATGAATAGACTTCTTATTTTGAATAAACTCTAAATTAGATAAAAGAGAATCATATCAAATTTTATCCTTCCAAAAGTGTGATAAGATTTAAATGATTTTATCCCTAAAAGATAGAGATTCCAACTCCTAAAAATTAGGAGATAGAGCCGGCCTCACTTGCTTGGTTTGTGGGCCAAAATTTCCTTCCTCAAATGGGCCTTGTAACACATTAATAATCTTGGGCTTGTAACTTCCAGACTTGACATTCTCTTGGGCTAAACCATTTGATATAAGAGTATTAAGTGCACTCTTCATCCTTTTACTTCTTGCTCGAGTCGTTGGGCCTCCAATGTTGGATAATGGATCTTGAACCACTCATTGAGCTTGGACAGTACTTGGAGCCCGAACACCTTGATCATCTTGGACTTGATTACCATGGATGTTCGCATCATTCCGTCCTTCCTTGAAAGGATTCGACCTTGAATCCAAAGCTTGTACAGCTTCAGCATCTGAGAAATCAAACGGAGATAAATCAGAAACATTAAAAGTTGCACTAACATTATACTCTCGAGGAAGGTCAAGTTGATAAGCATTGTTGTTCAAACGCTTGACAACTTGGAAAGGAGCAGCTCCACGAGGATCTAACTTCGATTTAACCTTTGTAGGAAATCGAATCTTCCTTAAATGAACCCAAACCCAATCACCAGGTTCGAATATCATTTCCTTACGCCCCTTGTTGGCAATCCACGCAACATGCTCATTTCTCTTCAAAATATTCATGTGTACTTTCTCATGAAGAGAACATACATACTCAGCTTTCTTGGCTCCATCTGCATTAAGATACTCAAAAACAGGCAATGGAGACAAGTCTAAAGGGGTTAAGGGGTTAAATCCATAAGCAATTTCAAACGGAGAATGTTGGGTAGTAGAATGCACAACACAATTATATACGAATTCAGCAATGGGCAAACATGCTTCCCAATTCTTACGATTCTTTTGGATCAAAACACGAAGCAAAGAACCAAGAGTCCGATTAACCACCTCCGTCTGGCCATCTGTTTGAGGATGAGCAGTTGTTGAAAACAACAGTTTTGTACCTAGTTTTCCAACAAAATTTCCCAAAAATAGCTCAAAAATTTAACATCTCTGTCAGACACAATAGTTCTAGGTAAACCATGCAATCTAACAATTTCACGCATAAATAAATTAGCTACATACTTGGCATCATCAGATTTATGACAAGGAATAAAATGTGCCATCTTAGAAAACCTATCAATTACCACAAAAACTGAATCACAACCTTTTTGAGATTTAGGTAATCCCAAAACAAAGTCCATTGAAATATCAGCCCAAGGGTGGGTAGGTACAGGTAAAGGCATATATAACCCATGTGGTTGTGACTTAGACTTTGCTTGTTTGCACTCAATACAAGTAGAACAAACTTTTTCTATGTCACGTTTCATATTAGGCCAATAAAAATGCTCACATAAAACATCATAAGTTTTCAAAATACCAAAATGACCCATACGACCACCACTATGAGATTCACGCACTAATAATTCACGCAGAGAACACGCATGCACACATAATTTATTATCTTTAAACAAGAAACCCTCATGCCTATAAAACTTGTTAAATGCGCCACTTTTACATGCTTCAAAAATGGATGAAAAATCAGAATCAATAGCATACAAATCCTTGATGTATTCAATCCCTAATAACTTAGAATTAAGCACAGAAAGGACATACGATCTTCGAGACAATGTATCAGCTACGACATTCTCTTTTCCCTTCTTGTACTTAATGACATAAGGAAAAGATTCAAGAAATGCACTTCATTTAGCATGTCTCTTATTCAGTTTGTTTTGTCCATGCAAATATTTCAAAGACTCATGATCACTATGGATAACAAACTCTTTTGGCATTAAATAATGTTGCCAATTTTCGAAAGCCCTAATTACAGCATACAATTCTTTATCATAAGTAGGATATTTCAATGTTGCACCGCTTAATTTTTCCGAAAAGTACGCAATAGGCTTACCACTTTGCATTAACACCGCACCAATTCCAACCCCATATGCATCACACTCAATTTCAAAAGTAAGATCAAAATTAGGTAATGCAAGAACAGGAGTACAAGTTAAATCATTCTTTAAAGTGTTAAATGCAAGTTCTTGTTCTTCACCCCATTCAAACCTAACATTCTTCTTTACTAAGTGATTTAAGGGTGCAGCCTTAGTAGAGAAATCCTTCACAAACCTACGACAAAAACTAGCTAAACCATGGAAAGAACGAATGTTAGAGACAGACTTAGGTGTAGGCCATTCTCGAATTGCCTTAACCTTAGCCTCATCAACTTTAACACCATCTTTGCTAACAACAAAACCAAGAAAAATAACTTCTGGTACACAGAAAGTAGACTTGGCAAGTTTAGCATAAAGTTTATTTTCACGTAAAGCAGAGAGCACACTCGAAAGATGTTTAGCATGTGAAACTTCATCTCTACTATACACTAAAATATCATCAAAATAAACCACAAAAAATTTACCTATATAAGGTCTAACCACATGGTTCATAAGAGACATAAAAGTAGAAGGAGCGTTAGTCAGGCATAACCATCCACTCATATAAACCAAATTTAGTTTTAAAAGTGATTTTCCATTCATCACCTTCTTTCATGCGAATTTGATGATAGCCACTAGCAAGATCTATTTTAGAAAATATGCAAGAGCCACATAGATCTTCTACAATGTCATCTAGCCTAGGTATGGGATGTCTATATTTAATAGTCATTTTATTCACAGCACGACACTCCACACACATACGCCATGTTTCATCTTTCTTAGGAACTAAAATGACAGGCACTGCACAAGGACTTAAAGATTCACAAACCATACATTTGTCAAAGAGTTCATCGACTTGACATTGCAGTTCCTTGGTCTCTTCGGGGTTCGCCTTGTATGCAGGACGATTAGGAATTACTGATCTTGGGATAAAATCAATTTGATGCTCAATTCCCCTCAAAGGTGGAAGTCCCTTTGACAATTCTTCTGGAAAAACATCCTAACAATTATGCAAAACAAATTTAACAACACTAGAATATTTTCAATGGGGTTAGTGTTAGTTAAATATAAATCCTTGTAAACAATTAAAATAAGTGGAGCGCGAGTATTTAGAGCCCTCCCAAGGTCTTCCATAGAAGCATAAAAGCTGCCTTTTCTCTCCCCAGCTTTTGGCTTTTCTCTCAAACTCTCACTCACTTTTGATTCTCTCCCATTCCCCAAACTCTCTTTTGACTCACTTTTATGTCTTTTCTATCTCTCTCTCTCTTTGCGTTTTTTTCTCAGATTCCATGATATCCGTAGGAGATAACGGACACAATACAATAGACAAACCCTTATGCACAAGTGAATACTGATTTGTCTTCCCATCTTTGTTAGCACCTCGATCAAACTCCCATGGACGTCTCAACAATATATGACATGCTTGCATTGGAACCACATCACAAAGAACTTCATCCTGGAACGTTTTAAAACATAAGAGTAAGCGAGCTTGCGACCGTACCTTAATTTTTCAACGATCATCTAACCATTGCAACTTGTAAGGCTGAGGATGTTTTAACGTAAGAAGGTTCAATTTCTTGACAAGTTCCATGCTCACACAGTTTGTGCAACTTCCTCCATCCACAATCACAGGACACGTCTTATTATTCACCTTACACCTTGTATGAAAAATATTGGTGCGTTGCTCGAGATTCTTGTCTTGAGCTGGCTGGATACTAAGCATGAGATAGCACCATAGCTCGAGATACGTTTTCCTCATAGACAACCTCATCTTCACTCTCAGAAGCTCCCTGATCATACATTTGACTAGTTGTAGCTTGCGTGGTTGTTGCTAAAACCATATTAGATTAAACGTGCACATCTTCTTCTTCACTTTCATAGTACCAATCATCTCGAAGTACCATTACCTTCTTATTGGGACAATCAGATACATAATGTCCTCTCTCTTTACACTTGAAGCATTGTACATTGTCAGATGAACCCGGTTTAACACTAGGTGTCTTCACCAATGGCTTGGTAACCTCGGCCAGTTTAAGCAACTATTTAGGTTGACTAGAACTTGGAGCCGTCTGCTTTATAGGAGTACTCCCCCACCGATTTGATCCAAAGGATGATGTACTAGTGGAAGATGTCTTTGCTTTGCTTGTGACCGAA